AATACTATTAATTTAGAAAAGTATATATAGTTTACATTTAATGTTTATTTGTTTCTGTTTTTTGTATTCTCTTTATTTGTTATATGTTTCCTTAACGAATCATATGATTTATCTATGATGTATTTTGTCCATTACTTTCTTTTCTGTTGATTTCTTTTTTGCTAGTATTTGATATATTTCTTGGAAAATACGTCTAAAATAGTATATAACACGTGAATGTGAAAACATAAACACATGAAATCACGACCTTACGGTTGTTACGAATTTAGAACAAATCAAGTGAGTAAAACTGTAAGAGTTTGGGGTTGTTTCTTGGATAACAATGTCTCTGCTTTTCAATCTAGTCGCAAATCTCTCTGTAAGCTTTTACTAGTCGTTATCAACAAAATATATAAGTGTTTTGCTGTGTTTCCTTATGATGATTTTTCTAGTTCCTTCCACAAACAATCACAGGTTGAAGAAGAAAGTGATCACAAGGATGCTCGTTTCTTCTCTTCATCTCCAAAGAAGCAAACTCCATATATGGTACTTGAAGGTGATAAAGTAGGAGAGTCTTCTGAAGCTGAAAATATCATAATGAGTTTCAAGTTGTTTGATCTAAGTAAGGAAGAGATCATCCAAGTTATCCACAAGTCATTTCCGAAGTTGTTGTACGAAGAGTCAAGAGTCATTGGAAGCTCGCGTGGCTGGATAGCTTTTATGAGCAAACATGATGGAACCGTACATCTAAGTGACGTGTTCAATCTCGGGTCCCTTAGAGTCATTACTCTGCCTCCTCTTCCTGATCCTATGTATCATCCTTCCACAGCCATCATAAATGTCTCCTTATCCTATCCGCCAGACCAAGAAGATGATTATGCAATGTACATCAAGTTCTTATGCTCCGAAATATATTACTGTAGGCCTAATCACCACTCGCAATGGGTTCTATGTGATAGTAACGAAATCCACACAACCGCCTCTGATATCGTATATTCCCCAAGAAACCAAATGTTATTCCTCGTGATAATGGGAGCAAGTTTCTTGCTTTCTTTTGATCTCAACATGAACAGAAAGTATACGAGGTTGCATTTGAGAAATATCCCAAAGATGCCACAGTCCGAGTGGGAGTTGTTGGCTATGTGTATCAAGAGAGAGCACTTGGTTGAGTCCCCTGGTGGCAGAATTTTTGTTGTTAAGCAGTGAGTCTTGATCAACAGAACAACTAAACTAACTAATTGTATATGACTATAACTAACAACACTCTTGCAGGTATGTGGAGACATACGACCAAGGGGACAAGGATATTATATTCAACAAAACCAAGAGATTCATGGTGTTTAAGCTAAATACAAAAGCAAAGGATGGAGAAATCGCCGCTTATTACACTGAAGACATTGGAGATCTCTGCATTTTCTTTGGCAACAATGAGACATTATGTCTTGAGGCAAGCAAATATCATGGACTTAAGCCTAACTATATATATTACGTTGGATATGGCCTCGGTGTTTACGACATCGGTTCCCAAATATTACACCACTTTACATCATCTATGCCTCTAAATTGGCCTCTTTATCTCGTACCCAGTCTTATCTAATATCTTTAATGTTTAATTTGTCTTTTGACATGTTTTAATGTATACTGAGATCGTGTTTGGTGTTTCCTTTAGCATGTATTTCCTCATAACCAATCTCTTAAAAAAAAAACTTATATATATATATATATATATATATATATATCAGTTGTTTCTAGAGCATACATATAAGTTCAACTGGTGACACATGCACAACTATGTATAAACATGAGTCGCTTTGTAGGCCTACGCGGCTACACCAGAGATCGATTCCCTTCAATCACGAAATTTACTAAATCACCCATTTGGTCAGTCGAATTGGTGACAAGCTTTAGGTCCATTGAAAAACACTTCAATTGTATGTGAATTACTTCAATTTTCATTCAACGTTTAATACGGTTTTCAATTAAACTGAGTAACGTTTTATAAACATCCAACTATGACACATTATGTCTTGAAGCAAGCAACTATCATGGACTTAAGCCTAACTCTATATGTTACATTGGCTATGGTCTCAATGTTTGCGACATCCGTTCCACAAATTCCACCTCTATACCTCTAAAATGGTTTCTTTGGCTCTTATCCAACCTTATCTAATCCCCATGTTTAATCTGTCTTTTGACATCCTTTTGATGTATATTGAGACCGTGTTTGGTGGTTACCATGCATTTCCTATGACACAACTTGAAAAAGGACTTACATTTATATATAAATATATAATCATTTGTTTTTGGAGCATACATATAGTTTAAGACGAGGAGATATATGCACAACTATGTATAAATGAATGAGTAGTTTAGGCAAATACAACAGAGACACTCAATGGCTTATACAACTCTGGAGCAAGTAAATATATATACATCACAGACTGTACAGAAGAATAAACAAGGGTTGTGACTCAGAACAAAAAGAGAGACAGAGGAGAATGCAGCAAAGTAAGAAGATTGATACCCGATATAGAAACTTCTCTATTTGCACCATCCTCTGATTATTGTTCCCATTGATATATCGCATATTTTGGTAAGATTGACCCAAAGTGTTATAAACGTTCCAAATATCCTCATGTGCACCATGTCCCCAAACATTCCGATAAAAAACCATCTAAACCAAAAAAACGTACAAAAAAACTAAACATTTAGCCATTTTTCTCCGCATCCGTCATCTTCAAGATCTTCACCACCTTATTCCATAGGTCCAAATCCATCTCCGTTCCAAGCTTTACCACTCTTGCAAGCTTCATTGCATCAACCTTTCCCAATCGACGGTTACCTTCATGCAAGGCATTTTCGGCTTCGCGTGACTCATCGGCCTTTGTTATCTACATTGCAGCTTTGGCTTTTTGCTCTGCTTAAGCTTTGAGCTTGATGGCGTTGTTTCTGGCTTTGCTGGCATAAAACCTACCGAGCGACGACTAAAAACTCTGCTCATGTTGAATGCGTAGGATTGATGATGGAATGGGCATAAACTGTACACGTATATATAAACGATTCCCGATAATGCCTAAGGCTAGGGTAAAAAAAAGTAACTTTTTATTTTGTTATAATAATGCTCAACAAACAAACTTGATTGCTTAATTCTATTAACTAGATTTTGTACCCGCTCGTTGCGCGGGATTTGATTTAAAATCTCTTCTATTAATATAAATTTTTAGCATAAAATATAATCATTAAAATTTAAATGATAAATATTTGAGCATAAATATAATAAGTGATATAAAATATATATATTGTCGACGATAATGTTTTTTTGACAAAGAAATGGTTTGATATATATATATATATATATCACGTGGTAACAATTCACTTAAGAAATTCGCGAGAAGAATAGACGGCATCAAATACCATCTACTAATCATTTATCTTATCTCTAAAAGAGTTTCTTTCAAATTCATATTACATGAAGACATTTCTTTAAAATTTTTGACGTTAATTATCGATTGTTTGAACATAACATCATTCCATATAAAATGCGAATACACTGAGTTTCATGAACATTATTTAGTGTAAAAGTACATCTATAATATCATATTCCTAGAACAGCTTTATCGAACTTTAATTTACCCATCAAAGCAAGTGCAGCGAGCCATAAGATAATTCTCAATTAAGTCATCAATGTGTCTATCTTATCTCACTTTCTATGATTACATGGCCAAACGGTACAACCCAACTTTGAATCTAATAATCTGTTTAATAATGTATGTCATGTATTTTTCTAAGAACCTATTGGTTTCACACAATGATGAGATCTCAAATATTTTACCTTAGTCATGTGCATTATCTTTCTAAGTTTTAGAAATTTATTTTTACACACTTTTAACTACCAATTATTTTGTCATTTTCTATGATAAACTCGTTGTCTCTCGATATATACTTTATTTTCACCTTCTATTAACTCACATATAATATATACTGGACTATTAGTTGATTTTCAAAACATATCATAACTATTTTTTCCTTCATTCCTATATTTCAAAACGTAATTTTTTGGGTTAAAAGTATTTGATTCAATTGATGAAATATCAAACTTTTTTTTCTTTTTGATCATGTTATAAAGTTGTAGTTTCACTTGAGAGTATGCTACACAAATTACATATCACTTTTTTTTTACGGCTTACATATCAATTTATATATACTTTAGATCATCTATGCCTCTAAATTGGCCTCTTTATCTCGTACCCAGTCTTATCTAGTATCCTCAATGTTTAATTTGTCTTTTGACATGTTTTAATGTATACTGAGATCGTGTTTGGTGTTTCCTTTAGCACGTATTTCCTCATAACCAATCTCTTAAAAAAAAAAGACTTATGTTCATATATATCAGCTGGCTCTAGAGCATACATATAAGTTCAACTGGTGACACATGCACAACTATGTATAAACATGAGTCGCTTTGTAGGCCTACGCGGCTACACCAGAGATCGATTCCCTTCAATCACGAAATTTACTAAATCACCTATTTGGTCAGTCGAATTGGTGACAAGATTTAGGTCCATTTGAAACCACTTCAATTGTATGTGAATTACTTGAATTTTCATTCAACGTTTAATAATACGGTTTTCTATTAAACTGAGTAACGTTTTATAAACATCCAACTATGAGACATTATGTCTTGAGGCAAGCAAATATCCTGGACTTAAGCCTAACTCTATATATTACATTGGCTATGGTCTCGATGTTTGCGACATCGGTTCCACAAATTCCACCGGTTTACTTCATCTCTATACCTGTAAATGGCCTCTTTGGCTCTTATCCAACCTTATCTAATCCTCATGCTTAATCTGTCTTTTGACATCCTTTTGATGTATATTGAGACCGTGTTTGGTGGTTACCATGTATTTCCTAAGACACAACTTGAAAAAGGACTTACATTCATATATATATATATATATATATATATATATATATATATAATCATCTGTTTCTGGAGCATACATATAGTTCAAGCCGAGGAGATACATGCACAACTATGTATAAATGTATGAATACTTTAGGAACAACGACAAACAATGGCTTATACAGCTCTAGACCAAGTAGGATATGTACATCACAGACTGTACAGAAAACGGGAGCTAGAAGAATAAACAAAGGTAGTGACTCAAAACAAAAAGAGACAGAGGAGAATGCAGCAAAGGAAGAATATCGATACCCGATGTAGAGACTTCTCCATCTGCACCATCCTCTGGTTGTTGTTCCCATTGATATATCGCATGTTTTGGAAAGGATGAGCCAAAGTGTTAGTAAACGTTCCAAATATCCTCGTGTGCACCATGTCCCCAAACATTCCGATAACCGGGTACAAGAAACTCATCATAACCGCATTTGCAAGATCAGTTGATGATTCCGTTGCAGTAAAGCCACCGTAATGACGAGAAGAGTGAGCTTGATGATGATGTTGCAAGCTCGGGTTTAGCGATGAAGCGGTTCTTTGAGGTATAATCGTAAGTTCTGAAGACGATGAAGATGAAGACATGCCTCTTCCATAAAGAGGAACCAACGAACCAATGGAGATGTTAGATTTGCATACAGGACAATTTTGCTGCTGGATAATAGAAAAAGAAGATGATTTCTGCACATCTAACCATCTATAAATACAAGGCCAACAATATAGATGTCCACAGAGAGTCACAACAGGATCATGAGCCGTTTCTAAACATATGTTACAATCAAAACAACCACTTTCGTGTTCCGTTGGAACCGCGATATGATTCGGCTTTTGTTTCAATACAAACCCATCACCATGTGCTCGTTGAGCATCAAACCTAAAGAAATTTCCTTCCATGAACGTAGTAAGATCCTGAGGAAATAAAGAATAGAACTGTATCAGAACCAAGATCAGAAAAACCCTAAACAAGTCAAATCACAATCCAAAATTATGATCTTTATGATTCCAAGCAAACGAGTTAACGATCAATTTCATTCGAATTACGATTTCCAGTAATCTGGGAGAAAAAAAGATTAAAAATTTCCTAAAACCAGAAAACAGAGGATTCATCAAAGTCCTGAATCAAGAGCAAGAGAGAACGTACTTTATCGGAGACGACGATTATATAAACTTGAAATTGCGAAGGAGAAGGCACAAGGAGAGAGATCTCAGGGATTCGAAGATTATTAAGTAGAGGCTTACTATTATGATGATCAATAATGATGATGTTGATGATAGAGACGACCACGATAATGATTGATGAATTATTCAAATTATATCAATAATATAAGAGAAAATTTAGATTTATAACTAAATTGTTCGATAACATTTTTCTTAATTTAAGAACTAACTCAAAACTGATGGTAAGGTTTTTAATTTGTTACAACAGCATAAATATCTGTTATTACCAAATTATAATTTACACTCACAACAGAAACTTTTTTTCTGGTTCCAAGTGTAACCAAACTTAAAAAGAACCATCTCTCAGTAAGTCCATGTGAGTCCAACTATGTTCCTCCGTCGTTTCTTCTTCTTCTTCGAACTCGCTCCTTCTTCTTCCTCTTCATCTACCTCCTTCTTGCTGCTCTTCTTCTTCTTCTTTCGAGAAGACTCTTTCGATTTCTTACCAGGAGTATCTACAACCGGAGTAATGTCTCCGTTTGTAGTACTCCCTCTTGGAAATGAACCTTCTTCGTCTTCTTCGAGCTCCCAGTTGCAGAAAAGACCGCCGTTGGTTTTGCTGTTGCTTGCCATTGGTAATGGCTCTCCTGCTCCGGGAAGAAGGCTGTTGAAAGTGATGTCCCCGTTTTTCCCTCCTTTGCGTTCTGATAGGATCCGGTCTGGTCTGATGATTGTGCCGAGAATGCTTCTGTTTGGTCCTAAAGATAGGATCGCTTTTGTGTTTGTTAGAGTAGACAAGGCCATTGCAAAGGCTGATCGAATCTGCATATAAAGAAGCCGTCTCTAATGAGTATATATATCCATCTTGAAAGTGTATACTTTGTTGATAAACTAGAGAAGTGAATAGAACCTGAAAGTAGTTGAATGAGCTCTTCCCAATGTCATTCTCTGGTGTCTGATTATCCAACAAAACCAAATAAAACCAATTGTAAGATGCATTCTAAGTTTCTTATTTATACAAAACCAGAGCTCGTAGCTGACCTGTGGATCCTCGATAGAGATGAGACCTGGCCGGGCTCTGTTCAGGAAACTGGAGAGACAAACACGAAAATAGACAGATATGAATGTTAAGAGACACAAAAGGTAGAGGTAGATGTTTCATGGAGTTTAGATTACGTAATTAAGATGAGAACCAAGTAAATAAAACTCTCCAGTGTCGGTTTAATTACTTACCCTTTGTCGTATTTTGAAAAGAAAGAACCTCCCGTTTTGCAAGATACACCGACATCTGCGGTGTTTAATTTTCGCCCGTAAAAATCAAAGAATTTAACCTACAATAAAGAAAAAGATAGATTTTAACCAACAAATGAAGCCACAGAATTTAAAGCTTTAAGTAGCGATGACAAAAGCATACCAATAGAACTCCCAAGTTATGCTCAGGTGCGCTTCGACCATCCTTGAGGTACTGTTTCATAGAAGAAACAAAGATACAAAAAATTTCCCAATTTAGAGATGTTTTTGAAAGTGAAAGATCTGGTAATGTGAAATTCAAGTAACCACTTTTACCTTGAGAAATGCAATCAGCATTGCAAGAAGTGCATATGAACCAATTCCACCACTGTACACCTGAACAAAAACATTAATGACAATTTTTGAATATTTGGCATTGTGAAGAAGGATGGTATATATTAAAGAAAAGCAGACTATTATATCCAGACCTCATTAAGTTCTCTCTGCTGTAGAAATACTTTCAGAATTAGACATAATGGTCGTAGAGGAGGCAACTTTGATACTGCATCCTGCAAAATAATCCGAGACTTGTTGTAAGATTACATAGATCAACATGATAGGCTGCTAAAGAGTATTATTCAGCTGAAAAATCCCAAAATTCATGAGAACTATTTAGGGCAACAAAATGTACTATCACAAACCTGTATAAACTCAGCTGCCTTAGGTCCATTCTCCATATCAAAACTGCAAAGCCAGTCAGTGACATGCTTAATACTAGCTAAATTCATATAATCCATTCACAAAAAAGACATTTGTGCGTCTATATATATAGATATCTGCTGCAATTACAGAGCTTTCTAATCAACCATGGACCACAAAGCTTTTGTTGAGAATATATAATAGCCAAAGTTAAAGTTCCTTCAAGAATTGCTATGAAATCAATTAGTGTGTTGCTTACAATCTATTTAAGCAAAAAGCGGACTGAATCTAAAAGTGAAGCTAGAAGGTAAATTGGGAAGATAAAAAACCTTAGATCAAACGCAATGTTGCTTTTCTTCTCAACAAACTTGATAATTGGTACACGAGCCTTAGCAATCACCTGTACAATCAGAGAAATAATTATGAGCCACGATCTCTCTAAGATACTGCCATATGATAAAAGAAAGCAATAAATACCACAAGATTCTTCGCAATTCCCCTTTGTGATAATGCCCTGGAGAGTGCGCGTAGACCTAATTGAGGATTAGTGAGACCTGATTCCAGAATGACCACCTTCATAAACAAAAAAAAAAAAAAAAAGATTAAGACATGAAAAATCTCTCCAAACACTAAACAGTATATGTCTCAAAAATGGATGCGGAGATAATCGTTGTGTTAAGCTCTAAGGTATTCTTGTTAATTGCATCACATAGTCAATCAAACAAAAGTGTTGTTTAACACTTACATCTATATCACTTGTTGGAAGATAAAGCCCTGTCTTGTATGACCCAAAAACCTCAACCTACAACAGAGATTTCAGTTTTCGAAACTAAACAAAACTCAGAGAGAGATTGAATTTTCCAAAGTTCGTACCTTGCAACTTGGCCAGATATACGTAATAACACTCGAGACACTCTCCACTGCTGCATCACGCTCAGCTTTTTCTGCTTGTGTTGGTAAGAGAAAATCACAGAAATCTACTATTTCTGCAATACACAAAGATCAAATCTTCTTCTCAACAAGTTTCTAATAAGGATGCAACACCAAAAGGAATTCTCAAATACAATCAAACTAACAAAGAACCTAAACTCAAATAGCCACATTTATCAAGAACTAGCACAAAGACTCAAAACAAATTAGCTCACTTTCAACAAAACTAACAAAGAATCTAAATTTATCCAGAACTAGCACAAAGACTCAAACTTTGGATGATTTTGAGCTCAATACCTTTATGCAATTGAAGCATTGGGATCTTAGAGAAACTATTCTCACTAAACCAATTACTCTCCAATCTGGGTTCTTCATCTTTCTTCCTCTTCTTACTCTTCTTCTTCGACGATGCCACAACCACCGGCGTTACAGGTTCGACGCCGTTCTCAGTCGTCCCACCGTCAACATCGAGTGAGAAGAAATCCACCGTAGCTGATTCCACCGGCGTTGTAGCGACGGTGAAATCTGAAATCTCTTTGCGGAAAACAGAGTATTGGTGAGATTCGTCATGAGTTGGTGGAGATTGGTTCGAATCTGAGAAAGAAAGTGGAGGAAGAGTATCGTATACGAAAGCTGGAGCTTCCGTTTTAGCATCGGAGTCCTCCATTGACGGCAGCTTAAACTTTGGGGTTTAGGGTTTCGAAGCCGTCGGGGAGGAGCTACAAAACTTAAAAGTTATGTCGGAAACAGAGTACAAAACAAAGGGCAAAATTAATTAATTAATTTAGAAAGAAAATAAATGGAAAATAAATTATGAATTAAATAATTTTAAAGTATTTTGTTTTTTACAAAATTTTTAATAATGAAGTAAAGTTGTACATTGCTTATTATACTATTTTTTCTTTCATAATTGTATGTTTGATTATGTATATTTGACAACAACACAAAAAAAAAAAAAAAGGTATTTATAATGAAGATTTGTATGTTTTTAATATTGCAATCTAATTTTTTAGTAGAGCACATACGAATATTAGTGTACGTACTAGCAATTATTACATCTATGTTCATCGAGACATTCTTGTTTGCTACTGAACTTACTCCTACGAACTTATATTCAACTAAAACCCGTTAATAGAGAGATATTATCAGACTCTCTTCTCACTTGGCAATGAAAACGATCTCGAGAGTGGTTCCATAGGTTCTGATCTCAACTCTATGGTCGTTGTTGGTGAAGAAATAGAGAGCCAAGGTCGAAGAAGAGGTGTTCCAACTCTAATTGAAGATTCATTAGGTACACAATCACTACGAGGTTGGATTGGTTGCATCTCTAGCTCAGTAGTACCTTGTTGTTGTTGTTTCTGTTGTTGTTCGAAAGAAGTTTCAGTAACATCAAGCACTTGATGGTCATATTCTTCAATAGATGCAATCGTGCTTGTTTCTGTTCTAACAGTTGAATCATCGCCATATATCCCATGCCTTCTTTTCCTTCTGGTTGCTTTTCCCCAACCGCGAATCGTCTCTCTTATCCTCTGAGGTATCAGAGCCGCTTTATAGTTCGTTCCCATCTGGAATCAAAACAATATTCCATTATCCTCCAAGGAGTTTTCGGAAGCTGTCAAAAGTCGAAAGCTCGAAACTGTTTCTAAATTACCTGAGTGACTAGTGCATAAAGTGGCAGTGTGCTGTAGCTGCATAGAAACTGTCCAGCAAATCTACAAAGTGGAAATCAGTTACATTAAACTATGAGACAAATGCACAACAGTCTCGAGGCTAAATCGGGACGAAAAAGAAGGTTTAATTACCCTAAAAGAAGTCTGAAGTAAACAAGGTAATGATTCTTAAGGAAGCAAGAGCTGTACCCAAACTGCCACTGAAGAAAAGGAATAACAAATGCATTGTAAGTTCAAACTTCAAACCCCAAATCTAAAGTTTGAAAAAGATTAAACGAATATATGTTGCATTTGTCATACCCAGAACCAGAAGAACGAAGCCAGTTCAAAAGAATTCTGTTGGAAATAGAAAACAAGTAGCTGGTAGTTTTACCAAACCCGAGAAATATTGGTTCGATGCAACGGAAGTTAGTAAAGAGTTTTGCAAACCTGGAACAGAATGAAATGAATAAGGGACAAGAGTAGTTCTGGTTTATTGAACCAGAAAAGTTCATCCCGAGGTCTCAGCTTCACTCCGGAAGGATACTCGGTTAACCCGGCATTCTCCAATGCCAAAGTTGCTATTACGTGTTGCAACTTAGCACCAACCAGAAGAACAAGCTAATAAAATGGGAATGGGAAATTTTACTAAGCTGTGATGTTTACAAACACAATACAAGAAAGCGAGAATGCTGAAAATGTAATTCTTACAGTAACAGGAATGATCGCTATCCAGAAATAGAGATTCGACCCTGCAAGTATCAAGAGGCAAGATTTAAAACTAAAAATCTTACAAATATGAAAATTTCTCACAATTGAACTAAGGGAAAACAGAAAATGTTCAACTGTCTTTTGGTTTAGTCATACCTTTTATATTAAAGAGCATGAAAGCAACTACGAATCCCCAAAGCGGCCCACTGCAGAAGAACATTGAAGCAAAAGTTATTCAGTCAATAACTAATGCATCCATTTATCCAAAATGATTAGTGATACAAGAACTCAAAGCCTGATAGATATAAAGCTAAGTGGATATATCACACTATGTTTCTACAAGATGAGGTAGCTAACCTCACACCAACGATCCTTTGGAACTCTTCTTCCATAGAACGAATCATGTAGCTGTGAAAATCGTACTTCAATGTGAGATGGTGATTCTGCTCATTAAAGAAGAAAAGGAAACAGTACCAATTATAAGTAGTTGTATCATTATTGTCATTCATAAAATTGAGAGTGGAAAAAGCAAACGTTCATACGGCATATAGTATCACCCACCACAATGAATCCTTTGCGGAGAGTAAGATAGTCAGAACGATCAACAGAACGTCCGAATTGCCGGAAGAAACATGTCTGCAAGGAGGTGAAAAACATACCACCCATTCAATATTTAATTGTTTCGTCATATTTTCTAGAGAACGGAAGAAAGAATCTTACCACCCATATAAGCAATCTATTCTTGGCCAGAGGTGCTGATGTATGATACTGGACAAACGTTGTTTGCCTTCGGAATATTTTTTCCCGTGCCACCACTGCCACACAAATAATAGATCTTTTACAACTTGAGAGATAGACATTTACTCAATAATCAAAGACTTGAACCACATCAAATGAGCAGCAAACCATAATGCTAGAAAAAACTTGTAACAGCATTGTAATCATGCCGCTGTGATAAAGTAGTAACCACACTTTCTCTTAGTTCTATAATGGAGCGGATAGAATCTTGCGTGCCATAGTTGGAAGAACAAGATAACCATTTAGTGCTCACCAGTTAAGCAATCGTGTCGATCCATACGAGCTACATCTTCCCAGATCCTCCAACTATGAATCTACATAGAGAAGCAGATCAATCAAAACTGTTGATAACAGAGGTTCTTCCCATATCAAAACAGAGAAGAAAGCACACTATCAAACACAAAATACACAGTAATTAAGATTTAAATGCAAAGGAAAACTTTAGCTGTTAAAAAGATATTACCTTGACGATTGCAAGGAGCATGGTCAAGCAGCTGTAAGTTACATGTGTAACAGCCATTATAAAGATGAAGCGATGCAACTGTTCAAGGCCTTCATATGAAACAAACGGCTCATGCCCCTGCAAGATTGAATTTAGTTAGTCCCTAAGAAATGATCAGAAGATTCTAATGCTAATGCTAAAGACTTCAGTCATTTTAAGTTTGAACCTCGCTGCAGGTGGTTCGTTTTATGACATCCAACCTTCTCCTAAAGATGTTGAAAAAGAGTGATTTTGTTAAAAGATTCCGCTTGACAGTTGAACCGCTTTCTAGCTCCTCTTGGATCTCAGATCGTGTACACGGAACAAATCTGTCGTTGTAGAAACTTGAAGGGACACATATGTTGGCTATTGTACTAGAGGTAGCTGTTAGAAGAAGTGATATGAATCCAAGCAGCATCAACTCTGTAAAATAACACCATTGCAAACACACAGAAAACATTTAGGAAACCAAAAAAATGAATCATTAAGTTTCGTTTCAGAGCAAAACCTTCTTTCATCTTCTCTAATGCAGCAAACATAGGTTTCCTCTTTGTCTTCCTCAACCACTATGACAAAACCACAGAAGTAAGAAGATGAAACAAATGATTCTAGAGAAGATCAAATCACAAAGGAGGCTTTTTTTTTTACTCACAGTGCTAAGACGATAAATGGAGCGCTCAACGATCAAAGAAACAACAACGAAGACAGTCAACACAATAGCAACAGACCAAGTAGGTGACAATGCCAAAGATCTCTCATTTGAATCTGCTTCATTACCATTTTCTTCTCCTTCTCCCATTTTCAAAAAAAGTCGGATTCTTTACACAAACAAAGCAAGTTCCTCCTCTCTACCCAAATTCAAACTGTAATTTCCACAACGCAAAAGAAAATTTTAAAATTTGAGAAAACTCAATAACAAAATCACATTCCTTGATTCTACAAGTATAAAAATCTAACCTTTAAAAACCCATCTAGCGTTCTTGGAGTAATTAACAATCAGAATCGCAGATATCTGATTGGCTTAAGACAAAAACTGAGATTCTAGTTTGGTCGTAACCCATAAACTTTGAGTCTCCTTTGGTAAGATTTGTAGACTCCAAGAAACTCGGAAACGCTTTAATCACCGGAGCAACTGAAAAATCAGGGGAGATTCAATTTCAATCAGCAGCAGAGGAACCCACACCATGAAGCGCCAAACACAGGTCGTTGAAAGAGACAGTACACAAATTCGTAAATGACTGTAGAAATCTAGAGAGGTTATTGTGGTCTCACTTAGTTCATAACTTCATGTACTAAAAATTTGTTTTTTGTTTTTATTTTTGGATACAAATGTTGACAATAAGAAAGAAGGAGAGAAGGAAGATTCGACAGATACCGAAAACAAACTTCTCCACATGATCGATCATCTGATAGACTGATACTCTCTCACTTTTGTTACTATTTGTTTGTATCTAATTTTATTTTTATTACTTTCTCGAAAGTATCGTATAAAAAAGTTATTAGCAAAATAATGACGATTAAATAAGCTGTCTAGTACCCAGCTCTTTAGGAAAGTTAGCTGGAAGCTACCTAAATGCAATAAATGCATTGGAATATGAGGTCTTGAAACTCCCGTTATTTTTTTTTTTATTTTTTTTGGTTGTCAATTCGTTAATTGTTAAACAATTTTATAAGAAAAGAATGACGTAATTGCTTTTACATGAGGCAGAATCTCATCAGGGCCGGCGCAGAGGACAAGTTACTGAAGCCATCGATTTGGGCCTCAAAACTTAAGGGCTTTTTTATCTAAAAATTTGTTAAGTTTTCTTATAAACAATTATTTTTGTAGGGTCTTTTAAAAATATTGTGGGCATTTAGAGACAACTACAATATTCTTTTTAATGGTAAAAATCTAATTTAAAATATTTTTTTTTATTAGGTTTAATTTTGCTTAGGGCACCCAAATTTACCGGGCCGATACTGATTCTCATCAAAAAGACTAAAAGAGAAAGAAAAAAAGCGAAAATCCGCAAGAGATTACGAGGGCTCCACATTAGCCATACGTGTGCGTGTGTATGCATGACCACACAAAAAAAAAAAAAAAAAAAAAAAGGAGTTTTCCTAATTGTGTATGGAGTTCCTCTATGTTGTTCTAATCATCTCGTTGATATAAGAGATCCTGTGAACAATGACATATAGATCTTTCATGGGGCTAAAGTTAGTTGTGTTAATGTCTATTATGGTGAAGAGTGATTTTGTGGAAAAGAATAACGAAACTTCATGATATATATATAGTATTGTTTTGGATGTTGATGATATGAAACTTTAATTTTGTAAACAACCTCAATTCCTCATCATTTGGCTAAGAACACACGGGGAGAGTTCAGAAGATTTCAAATGATGAGGTTGAGCTTGCGTAAAGACACTTTGGTTTGCTTGAAAGATTTGGTTAATTAAAATGGTTAATGAACTCACGAGTGTCGCATGTGCGTTGAGCCGTTAATTTGTTAAAATGGCTAAGGGTAAATTGGTATACTGATCTCGGTTAAGTGTAAAACTAGAGATCTAGTTATAGTTTGAGAGACTTTGAGATTATCGAAATCTATTGGAGTGCCTACCTTGTTATATATAAGTTCTTTAGAGCAACATCAATGGTTGAATCCTTAAAAGGATTCTTAAACATATTTTAATAATAAATTATGACAATTTTGAAGTTAAGAGTTTTTGATGAATCCTTAAAAAAAAATTTGTCCAATGGTAGAGTCCTTAAGTAGATTTCTTAAAAAAAAAAAAATTATAACAAATATTAGCATCAAAGTTATGAGAACTTGTTGTTTCACAACAGAGAAAGATTCAAAAATGTATTCTTTCCAGAGGTAAGAAATAAACTCAAGAAAAAGGAAAACATACTTAAGCCATCCCTTCAGCTTCAGCCTTTCTTGATAAGTGTTAGTCTCGGCCTTTCCTCTCAAAAACCTAAAAACAAATTGCTTTACACCAAATTATACCTGTCATTGAATAAGAAACAGACCAATTAAGAGACCAAAGGGTATTCAACTCCAGAAAGATAAGCACCAATAACATACTTAAGCCATTGTAAAATTGGTGTATAAATTTGAAAGCAGCAGCTAAACCGGTTAACTCTTTTATTAAGGAAAAACTACATATCACAGAGACTTGATTAACAAAACAACTCTCTACTCAAAGAAATTCCAAACAAAAGGTTTATTATTATTATATGGAATTCACCAGATTATGCTTCATCTGCAGAATTGTCCTTTGTAGAAAAAGGACTTATCCTCTGACTCAATTTACATTTTTGAGTTTGACCAAGAAACAAAACATGTTTTTACCAACATTTTCTTCTTCCATCCTCTTTGGCCAACAAAAACAGTCAAAGAGTTAAACACTTTTCGGTGCTATTTTTTAATCAGCATTATTCTTCTTTAATACTTTGATTTTCCACAATTTAAGAATTTATAAAAGCTTTAAAATGATGCTGAAGATTTGAAGAAATCAATGCTACTAACCTGGTAAAGCAATAAAAGCATCAAAGATCAGAAGGGTTTAATTAGGGATTAAAGGAAGAATACCTCTCTAGGCATGAGTGTCTTGGGAATAATTCTGTGGTCAAATAACACCAAAGATGAGAAAAAAGAGAGACTTATTCAGATATGTGAGTAAGCAAGTATGACACTTAAATGGTGATTAGATGAAGAGTTACCAAATAACATGGCGACCACCATCATGAACAGCTTGTGAAACCAAACCCATCAAACCTATGCTTCCACCTCCATAGACTAGATCAATGTTCCTTAAAACCTGTAATAGTATACGAAAAACAGAGTAAACCATCTTTCTCATTACAGATAGTTTCAGAAATGAGCTAAGAAGAGAAATCAAAACCAAAAAGACTATGTGGTGTTTCTTTTTTCTCTTTGATTTCTCTAAGAATCTGTGTGTGATCAAATTAATCAATTCCCAATTCAACAAACCTTAATTTCGATATAATCTAAAAAAACCCTAATTCATCACGATCTACACAATCAAACACATAGAATCATACCTTCAGAAAGCGATTGTGGCTTGATTTGTTGACGATTTGATGATCATGACGCCGGCTTTTCTCTTCCGATTTGTTCTTCGTCTTTCGGAGATTAGAAGAGAAGAGAGACAGAGAGAGATCGCAGAATGGTCGGGAAAGATTTTTTTTAATACTTTTTCTGTTTGCCATCAAAACTTGCCACGTATGCGTCTCTAAAAATCACAAAAAACTCTAAAGTAAGGAACGCACCTTACCATTAATCACATTTTTATTTATTTTTGGGTTTTATTCATAAGGATTCTCACCAAGAATCCCTTTAGAACTGCCCATTGGGCTTGCTCTTAGAGAATAGTGAATTCTTGTGAAAGGGTTGTCTCTATCAAACCGTAGATAAGTTTGTTTAACGAACTGATGCCCATGTAGCTTAGTAATTACGTTGTTCTTAATTATAGAAACTGGGTCACGGAAATTCAGTGATTGAGTTATTAAATCGTTGTGCCACTCTTTTCCGGTTTAATCCCATATTCGTGTTCATGCGAAATCGAGAAATATATAGCTTAGGAATCATCAAAGCTTGAGTCTAACAAATTATCTCAATCATCAAAGATTAAAATTTATTTAATATTTATAGAGATTTATATAGTTTTTATAAATATAAAAATAAAAATATTCAAATTATATTTACAAAATATGAAGTCTAACAATAAAACTAAAGTTATTCAAATTAAAAAAAGTTTATATCCAAGTAAAAGTCTAAAACCGTAACAAATATTAAAATAGTAGAAAATAGCCAATAACAGAAATAAACTAATAAAACATCGCGAATTCAAAACAACTAATCTCGATTATTTCTTTCACCATTATATTCCTTCTCTTTAGACGGTACTGTAAAGTTTCATACAAAATCTAAAACAAAATGAGTCTAAGAACTAAAATTTTAATTTTAAATAACTAAATAGAGTCTAAAACTCTATATTTTATTCCAAAATCAAATGATATTTTCAAAATCCATATCCAGCCGGTTCAACTGGTTCACTGGGTCGCGGGTTAATGGCGGATTTTTGTGGGTTTTTCCGGTTTTGAAATTGGTGGGTATTAGCACTAAATCCAAACCGAAAAAATGTTCGGATCGTGGGTTAACCAGTCGGACCTGAAACACTGGAAAAAAGGGTACCTGCACAATTTGTGAAAGAGGTAAATTCTCGCCAATCATTGAGGAGACTCGTGAAAGAGACCCATAAGTTAGTCCAAGCAAAAAAATTAGGACCACCAAATGAATAAAATAAAACCGGATCATTTATTTTCGAATAAATTACGGATTTTGTCCTTTTTCATAAGGGCATTTGTGGATTTTGCCCTTTTTTGAATAGTTTACGGATTTTGTCCTTTTTCATGCTCCAAAAATATAATTTAACATGCGTTTCACTCGTTATGTTTGAGTTTAGTCGGTTCCATTTGTTCTTAGGGTTTAGTATTTGGTATAAAGTACGTATTTTTGGAAAAAAAAATCCTAAATACGTACATTTTTAAGTGTTAAAAAGGGCAAAATCCGTAAACTATTCAAAAAAGGGCATTTTCGTAAGTTTTTCCCAAAAAAAAGGGCATTTTAAACAATAATCCCTTTATTTTCTTTAATATACTAATAACTAGAGTTTTAGAGCCACCTTAATTTATTATTATTTTATTTAAAATGTTGTTTAAAAAATTATATTGCGGTTTTAGACATTTTAGATTTTAGTATTTTACAAAAAGCAAATACTATGTAAGGGATTACAATTTTTTCTTCATTCGACCGGCCTTGTTCTTAGTAAGTGAGATATTGCTGATTAGGAAAAACGGTTCAATGCTCAATTTGTAACACACATGAATCGAACAACATGTTTTTCTCTTTTCTGTTTTAAATCAACAAACAAAAAAGATGGTATTTGTTTGTTGGAACTTCAAATAATTTGTCTTGTTTGAATCAATCAACAATGGTACAATGACCACATAAATATATCGTTACTAAAAAAGAGCATAATTAAGTACACAATTGTCTACTTTTGGGATTTTACTACGCATCAGAATCTTTAGTTATCATGAGGTCTAAATACAAAAGCGGGTCCTTGTTGGTCCAACTTTTGGGAAATCCACCACATGTCCTAAAAGATTCATTACAATAAGCCAAAACTACATATATATGACATTCAGCATTATATGTGATGAAACTTTCGTGATACTCTTTGCTCCAACGATTTCATATAGCTTGTACATGTAAGCAATGACAAGAGAAACAATGTCCTCCAAGCATAAGTTTCCAAATCATTTCGTATATGTAACCTTATAGTGGTATTACTGGTGTACATCATCATTATATTCATTTTGGCCAATGCTCCTCTTTTTTTCTTTTTTTGCCACCAAAGCCAATGCTCCTCTAAGTACCGAATCTTTTCGTTTTTCTGTTATAATCATTCTTTTTCAAAAATCGTGATTTGCCCCCTCGCATTTACAAAGTTAGTATGAATCTAACCAGTCCTGTTAGAAGCGAATCATTTGTTTCCCTTTTTATTTGTGCAACTACTTTTTACTTCAAACATCTTTTACAATATGCATATGTAACATTTTATTTTGTTTTTTAGTTGAAATAATTGTTTCTTACATTAGACTAATCACTAGATGGTAACTCGCGGTACACCGCGGGTCTATATTTTTATTAGAAAAATTTATTAAGTTTTGTTTTAAGATACTCTATAGATATATATTATTGTTTTGTTTAATTTAAATGTATAATATACCGTGAGACGAAATTTTATAACAAAAATCGAAATTTTATAGATAGACGTAGTATAAAAACAATAGATTCAATTGTATGATTTTGAATAAGATGCTGATTTAACCCGTTTTATACTGATTTTACTCGCGGTATACCGTATGCTAAATTTTAAATAATAAAATGAGGATTTAATATGTGTTATAGCGATGTATTAGTGATATTTTAAATTTATATTAATATCAATCCTAACCAAACCCGTGTCATACAATTCGTCCCGTAATATTTAAAATATTTTATAAAAACTCAAAAACCATAGCTAAATGGGCAAACAAAAGCCAAAAAATTTAAATATATCAATTAGAAATATTTGAATTATAAATTTTTGAATTAGAAATTTTTGAATTTAATTAGAAAAGATTGCTCCATAATTTTAAATCTTACGTATTTAATGTATTTATGAAGATTTGATATTTGAATTTATTTGAGAACATTACTTATTTTTAGCAATTTCAGAAAAAGACATGGGTTAAAGCTTGAACTGATCCAATAATTAAGGTCTGAATTAATAGTTTTGCACCGGCCTTGTTATTTCATTTGTATTTTCTAATTATTTTATCACTATTCAAACTTTAATGATCCATGTAATTAACACTAACCTATTATTGTTATATAATCACAAATATTAAAAATAATATGTTTAGAACTGCCATGAAAAAAAATTTAAGTATGCAACTTTCATTAGTTCACATAATGAAAAAATAAACACATAGAGTATTAGAACCCAATAACAAAGAATCATGTCTACCAATTTTGTAAAGACCTACAGAACCCAATTTGTTTTTATTCAACTCTCTCATATACCCAAAATGAAAAACTTAGAAACGGAAAGTTCAAACTCAATCATCGGTGGTTTAGCAGATGAAGTCACCGTCGTTAACGGTCACAGTAACGGCTCCGTCGATCTGAGCCTTGTTTCTTCAAAGCTGCAGCAAAACGCATGGATCTACTCTCCGTGTAGCGTATCAAGGAGTTCCCGGCGTGTATTTTGAAGCTACCACTGGAAAAGCATATCCGAAATATGAAGATATTCGGTGTGATCAATTCGATGTTGCGTTTCAGGCGGTGGAGCTTTGGATCGCCGATCGTCTTGTTTTGCCAATCGAAACCTAAAGAATTACGATCTCCTCCTCGTCACCATCTTCACATCGTCGGCGAGGTTTAGATCCCGGTTCACCACTGTCTCCTAGCTCTTCCCGGAGTCCGTACAGATTGCATCACGTCTGCGATTTCTCATTTTCTATAAAACTGGTGAGTTTTTATTAGACTAATTAATGAAAGGTATTTATAATGTTTTGAGAATACTATAGGGTTTTGGGTGAGTGAGTTCCTAAAATTTTGAGAATACTATAGGGTTTTGGGTGAGTGAGTTCCTAAAATCTTGCTGATCAAGTACACAATATCTTCAAAATCTTTTATTTTTGGAATTGAATAATTTTCTTGCAAATCTCGAAAAAAAAAGAAATATAGAAAAGATAATTATGAGTAATTAGTTGGGATGACAGCCAATGTTAGAGATTTAGAAGGAAAGCGAGAGATTTTTGGCAACAATTTTTGAACGTAACATCTTTGATTTGGGAGAGATTTTTGGAATATGCTTATACCGAAATATATGTGTAATTATCTACATTAATGACGGGTTTTTTTTAGATTTCCTTAAATGTCTTATCCAAGATCCGGATATAGTAAAACCGAGTAAAACCCGGATCCAAATTATTAAAAGCAAAAAACCCTGCAAAAATATATATGTAGATTGTTATTTTGATTTTAAATTTATTGCAATTTAAATGGGCAATTGCCTATATTTAATCTGTTATTGTAAAAGAAAATTGACATAGCTTATTATTAGAATATTAAACAAATTTATTAACATAATATATATATATATATATACTGTTAAAAAAATAAATACGTTTTTTCTTTATAATTTCATAATATATGTATATATTGTTAAAATCTGGACATTTATTATGAGCATAAATATGAAAACGATTTTCCATTAAAATCGGCTATTTATTAGGGTCATTAATATGAAAGATATTAAGACAACATGGCTTCATTTATTAGTTTGAAATTAAGACAACATCCCTTAAATTGCTAATCTAAGATCCGAATAGACTAAAACCCGGGTCAAATCCGGATCCAAAAGAATTAAAGCAAAAAAGTACTATAAAAATGTATATGTAGATTGTAGTTTTCAGTGCAAAATTTCCTTTAATATAGTAGCATATTCTCACTGTTAAATTTGAGACAAAATGCGAATTTAGGATAGATTTTTTTTTTTTTTTTTTGGGCAAAGCGAATTTAGGATAGATATTAACTAACCTCTAAGAAAGAAAGACTACATATAGTTGCAGGAAATACTGTTGTCTAAGTCTCTAAGATTTGACACATTTAAATTTGTATCTAGTTTGGCATAAATTTATGAAATAATAAACTGTTATTGTAGATTCTTTAATAGTACTTCTTCGAAACTTTTTTAAAACGCAGATAGATTGGTAAAAACAATGATCACGTAAAAT